CTATTTAATATTTTTTATATGATTTTTGTTTTTTATATGTATTTTTTTGTGTAGTAGTCAAAAAGCATCTTTATTACAATACAACAACAAACAATATTAATTAATAATAATAATAATAATGACATACAATTTAGTATGCATGTACATATGTATAATAGGGTGGCCATTAAAAATATCAAAATGTAAATTTTGTATGTGGCACCCGTTTATTTTGTTATAGATACAAAATAAAGACAGCCAGATATTTAATATTTTTTTAATTTTTAGTCGTTTGAATAATTAAATTTTTTTAAATCGCAGGAAGTCTAAAAAAGTTTTGACTTGAAATCCGATTAATTTGACATAAGTATTATTGAAATTTATTCATACATATAAGTTCATAAACTTGCCGAGTTATGGCTGAGCAAAATACAAATTTTGTCGAATTTTGGCAATTTAAAAAAAAAAGACTAAAAATGTATTTAATTTTTTTTTTTGATTTTAGTGGATGTCTTTAATTTGTACGTAGAACAAAATAAAGGGGTGCCCAGGATTTTGACTTTTTAAGGACCACCAAAATGTATGCATAAATTACATATGTATGTACATATTTATGTTTGTATATAATATTTTATTTTTACGTATGTATTTACAAGTTTTAAAAAAGTATAATATAAAAAAATATTCTGTTTGGTTATAAAGTGAGCCGTTATAAAAAAAGGAACTAATGCCGGGCTTTACAAATCTTTGTTTTTTTGCATTCAAGTTGATTTCTACACTGCCAAGGTTTTGTGAATAAAAAACAAGTAAGAAAGTCTAAGTTCGGGCGGAGCCGAACATTAAATACCCGGCGCAATTATTAAATATATGTTTTCCACCTTTCCGAAAACTACCGCTACACGATAAGCCGGGGTGTATAAATTTTAAGTAAATTAGCGTCCTTAAATTTCGAAATATTGAAGTTTCAAGCATTACTGAAATATACCGTTATATGAAAAGCGGTCGTAATTTAGTCCGATTTCAATAATTTGCAACGCCTTGCTTTTATGTGGCAAGCACAATAACCATACCGAGCTTGGTACAAATTGCTAGAACGCTTAGCGAGATACATACATATATGTGATCACAAGTGGGCGGTGCTATGCCCATTTTCCAAAATTTTGTCATAAACGTATTTCTTGGTAAAGAATTGTTGCAACCATCAATTTTGAATAAATTAGCATCAATATTTACTGATTTATCGAAGATTTTGCATTTCTCGAAATTACTGTTATATGGGATGTGGGCGTGGTTATTGTCCGATTTTAGAAATTTTCGGCCACACTGAGAAAAGAGTTTAGTTACGTCAACTAAATATGTTTTTCTCAACACATTATTTGGTTATAGTTACATTATTTGTTTATAGTTACCAAATCATGTGTTGAGAGGAATATATTTGGCTGACTTTTTTCTGAGTGCATTTGGTATGCTGTACCAGGACCAACAACTGTGCCAAGTTTGGATGAAATTTGTGCAGCGGTTACCAAGATATACACATGTAACCATAAGTGGGCGTGGCTACGCCCATTTGCCAAAATTTTGTAATCTTCTTATTTTTCGTCTAAAACTCATTGCAAATATCAATTTTGAGTGAATTATCTTCAGCAGTTACTAAAATATCGCAGTTTTCGTTTTTCTGAAAATTACCGTTATATGGGAGGTAGGCGTGGTTATTGTCCGATTTTTAAACTTTTCAGCCATTTAGTATGCTGTACTAAGGCCAACAACTGTGCCAAGTTTGGAAGAAATTGGTGCAGCGGTTACCAAGATATACACATGTAACCATAAGTGGGCGTGGCTACGCCCATTTTCCAAAAATTTATAATATTCATGTTTTCCGTCTGAGACTCATTGTAAGTATCAATTTTGAGTGAATTATCTTCAGTAGTTACTAAAATATCGCAGTTTTCGTATTTTTTAAAATTACCGTTATATGGGAGGTAGGCGTGGTTATTGTCCGATTTCGCCCATTTTGAATACCATCCGTCCTACGCCCAAAAGAAGTTCACGTACCAAGTTTCGTTAAGATATCTCAATTTTTACTCGAGTTATCGTGTGCACAGACGGACAGACGGACGGACGGACGGACGGACGGACGGACGGACGGACGGACGGACGGACAGACAGTCACCGCTTAATCGATTTCTCTTTTCATTCTGATCATTTATGTATACATTTGTCTATATCTATCTCGATTCGTTTTGCCTGTTACAAACAACCGTTATGTGAACAAAGTTATAATACCCTTGTGCACAAGTGCGCTCGGGTATAAAAAATGCTTTGACAATAAAATGTGCGCCACTGGAAACTTTAACTTTGGACTGTTCAAAGATTTCAAGAAAAAAAAATGCTACTCATTCACTTAAGCTCAAAAAAGCAGGAAAACTGGAAACTTGAAAAACAAAATTTATAGAAATTTTAAATTTTAGTTCGGGCAAAATTTCATGGCTTTCAAGGCTTTTTCGAGTATAGGTAAATATCTCTACAAACAAAAAAAAATTACGCTATTCACCCCTGAACATGAAGTATTTTTGCAATTACGAAAAATTAAAAAGACGAACTTATTTTCGGCAAAAACATAGTAATTATTTTTATCGAAATTGCCTTACAAAAATTCTTTAGATTTAGGGGTGTACGGCGAAAGTTTTTTCCGGTACGGTGAAATGTAAATATAAGAACCAAAAGTATCAGGAGATTTATTGAATTCTTTTGACAGCCTTTCGAAATTATTCTATTTATTTTATTTCATTTTTTATTTTATTTTTATTTAATAAAATTATTTAATTTTTTTTTATTATATTTCATTTGGTATTTTCTTTTATTTTATTTGCTATTTTCTTTTTATTTATGTAAATTAATTTCATTTTCATCCTGTTTTTTTATTTATTTTGAATGTTTGTATTGTAGTGCATAGATTACGGATGGCAACACTTCAGTTGCGTTGCCAATGGCTGAATTGGTATTACAGGAGGCAACTGGAAACTGAAAGCCGGCAACTGCATTTTTGTGGGTCCGAAAATTTAAATAGAGAATGTATTTATTTTTAACTGACCTTTAAAAAGAAGGTTATCAGTTTTTCCGAATATTTTTTTCTTATCTATTGGGGTATTCACAACGGTGTCGTAAGTGTCGTATTGTTGTATGCCGTACACTTTAAACGCCTAAAAAATATATTAAGGGGGTTCGCAAAGTACCATCAAAGTCATATTTTGAATTTTCGCAGTGTTAAACAAATAGTTGGATGTGGTTTCAAGTTCTCTAAACATTTATTGATGCTTTTAAAGTTTGCAACATACAACAATACGACACTTACGACACCGTTGTGAATCCTCCATATGTTACCGTATAACTCTGGACTACATTGATCGATTTGTATAATTCTTTTTTATTTAGGAAAGGTGGTACCTCAGAGGTGGTCTCATACTAATTTGGTTTAGATCCGATGCTCTTTAATTTTTATATGAGAATTGAAGCCGGTTTTGTTTTTTGCTTAAAAATTACTTGTTTTTTCGACTCTTTCTGCAGCCTATTTTAATTCAAACCTTGGTTGCTATTTAAAATATCTTGCGTTGCTATCCATAATCGACTTATTAATTTAGTATTTTATTTTATTTTTTGTTTTCATAATTAATTTTTTGAATTTATTTAAATTTTTTATTTGATTTACATATTTTTATTTTATTCTATTTTATTTTTAAATTAAATTTTTATATATTTTTATTTTTTTTTTCTTGAAAAGAAATTTGATTGGGGTTGACCTCCACCATAAGAAAAAAAAATTCCCCTATAGAAGAGTAATAATTTTTGAAATTTTGATGCCTTTTTATTCAAAAAATTAAAAATTTGTTAAGGTTTTCTGTAAAGTATTTCCGAATAGTTGCTTTACCATATTCAAATGCAATGCAATTTAAAGATATTAAGAAACTTTTTGAAAAAAATATCGATATTTAAAAAACGGTGACCCTTCTATAAGGGTATTTTTTTATCTGGGAGGTCACGTCCTAACCTACCTCCTCCTTAAGTTAGTCGTGGCACTTATTGGGCACCCTGTTTATTATATAGTTTTTTTTTATTAATCTTTACTTAATTTATTATTTTAATTTTAAGTTTTATTTTTTATTTAATTCATTTTTTATTTAATTTCATTTTCTTTTAAATTCATTTTTTATATTTATATATCTTTTTATTTATTGACTTTATTATTTCTTATTTTATCTAATTTTCATTTTATTTTCCATAATTACATTTAATATTATTTTAGTCATGCATTTTGTGTTAAGGCAGCGCTTTGGTTACGTATTCCATTGGAAGCAACGCACTAAAAAATTTTAAGGCATTTAGTTTCGATTTTTAAGCGGAAAAATTCTCTAAACAACTTAAATGGTAAGCACTATATTATTTTTAAATGTCATATTTTCCTTCTCTTTACATGCTCATACATACCTACATGGTTAGATATTTGTTATTTAAACTTTAGTACTTTTTTGTTTTGTTAATTTCTGGCACATTATTTTGCGTCTAAAGACTTGACTAACAACTATTTATTAGTTTCGTAGTTAATGCTTATTTTCTCAGTTAAGATAAACTACATTTTCGTTTTGTTGTAGTAAAACGAAGAAAGGCAACTTTAACAACCATCTTAAGGCAACAATTTTCTTTAACAATAAATGCAGAATTTGCTTTCGAAAATCAAACCAGAATTTAAAATAGAAGCTATTCTTAGGAAAACTTGTAAACATATGGATACAAATTAAAATAGGGCGTCCAAAAGACATCAGAAAGACAAAAGACTGGGCCTTAATTCCGCCGTTTTCCCATAACTCTCAGATTTAAGAGCATTTTTAGGTGCATTAAAGCCGCCTTATCCCTCAAATTTTAATATATATATATATATTTTTTAACTACGCGTCATCTCTACCAGAACAAAAAAATAAAAGTAACGAAACACAGTTCAAAATACAGTCAAACCCAAAAATGTACAACAAAAAACATTAAAATGCTATTGGAAAATTTACAAAGCGTTTTTAACATAAACCGCTACATACTATAAACACTAACACTACTATGAACTTAACTGAAGCAATAAGAAGAATCCGTGTTTTTTGTTTACCTACGATCAACTTAAATATCGCTTAGCACTAAATCGTAAAACTAAAATCATCACTTAAAAATTAAACTGTCACGCGTTTCGTCGCGGCTTTTCAAGTTCGCTTCGCAAGCGCTACTCCCTTTTGCAGCCCAACTTCCGCGTCTTTTTGCTTGGCTTTTGCTACGCGCTTTTACACTCTCGATATCTCTCACGCTGTTTCCTCCGCCCCATTACTGCAGTCGTCCGAGTGTCTTCTTCACGCGCAGTGCCGTCAGCCGCACTGTCGGATTCGGATGCCAGCACTCTTGCATGATTTTGGACATTGTCGCCAGCACATCATCGTCCTGCCAACGCGACGGCACCGGCGGCCTGAAACACTTTAGGCACACCACATCGTACATGTCTTCGAATGTGGGATCGGCAGGCACCACATCGTGATAGGGCAATGCATAATCCTCGCATGTGGTCGCATTCGAGCCCGGCACTTGCGTATAGCAACGGCGGCACAATTCCCACAATACCAGCCCCACTGAGTACATATCGGCACGCTTGAACTCCTCGAACTGCTGTTGATTCAATGTCTGATTAAGCATTTCCGGTGCCATGTAGCGTGGCGTGCTGACGCGTGAATTTTGTGCGATTTGTATCTCATCCATTTCCGAGGTGTATTTGACGGCCAAACCAAAATCGGCAATGGCACATTGGCCATTCCGTTTGACGAGTATATTATTGCTCTTGATGTCGCGATGTGCAATGGCCGGTTTGCCGGGTGTGCCTACGATCTCGTCGTGCAAGTGTGCCAAGCCCGAAGCGAGCGAATAGGCTATGATTTGCAGCTTTTGCGGTGTAATCACCGAAGTGGCGAGATAATCATGGAGGCTGCCATTCTCGTGGTAGTCGGTGATGAGCATCATTTGTGTGTGACTACCCATGTGTTTGATGTCCGCAGCTATGAAGCCGAGTATGTTTTCGTGACGGATGAGCACCGTCTGATAGATTTCGGTTTCACGGAACCACGAGGACTCCTCGGTCATGAAGAAAATCTTGACGGCGACGCGCTCATCACGCCATTTGGCTAGAAATACTTCCCCGTAACGTCCTTTGCCAACGGAGTGCACTATTTGTATTTGCTTAGCGATGGTGCGTTGCACCAATAGCGGCAAGCCTGAACCCGAACCGGTGCTTTGTCCGACCAGTTGCGATAATGGTGAAATTTGACTGTTGCACATGGAGCTGATGAGACGTGGCTGTTTGCCTTGCTTCTCGCGGCGTCTATACATTACGCAGAATATCAGCAACACCACAACGAATATCGTCAGGAAGACGGTTAGGGAGGTCAACATGAGCAGGTAGTGTATGGATTGTGAGCTCACTGGCAATTCGGGCGGGGTGGTGGTGCTCTTCGGTGTGTACTCGGGGTGGATGTTACGATTACAGAAGTCGGCTGAATCACAACAGACGATATTCTTGCCATGCAGGTGGGGTACGGTGGCAATTTTGCACTGTACAAAAAGAAATAACGGAGGTTAATTGTTGAACTTTGCAAATGAAAATGCGAAAAGAGAAAAAGCGAGCGTTAACTCTGTACTCACCATTAGGAGTCCACCATTCTCTTCTGGCGGCATACAACCATATGTTCGATCCTCTTCGTATGTGCCTGTAGTTTCATCGTATACCTCTTCGACTGCGCTGAAGCAGGAACCACCAGGGCGGGTTTCACAAGTACCATTGATACTGTTATCGGGGCAGCTGCCTTCGCAATAGCAACTCAGCGTGCGGGCTGGAAGTATAGCAGAAGATAAAAAATGTAAATTAGTTAAGAAAGTAAATGAGGCAAAGAAACAAATATGGCTTAGGAAATTACTTAGTCAATTTCACTTGTAAATTTGAGCTTTAAAACTTTGTAATAAAAATAAATAAGAAATTACCTCTTTTTGGTTTTCTATGGTATGAAATCTTAAGGAGATGCATAAAAATTAAACTAATGCCGGATTTCCACTAGGCATTGAATGACACAAATTGTAATGACGAAAGTTGGGAATTAAAGAATACCAGTACCAGTATGCCGAATTTCCACGAGGCATTGAAATGACAATGATGACAATGATGGTTCCGTGCGCAGAAGTGGAAAACTTTTGACTGCCATTCACCTGGGAGTGGCCAGAAGCGATTCTTGTGCGTACGGTTGAAATCGCAGCTCACAACGTCCGGATATTTATATACACGTATCCTCTGGGTAGCAACCAAACACCCGTTTGGGAGCGAGCTAAAGTGAGAAGGCGTAAAACTTCGCGTGCGCTGGGTTTGGGTCCTGCCACGTTAAAACCCCGCCCAATGAAAAGAAGCAAACAGCCACGGATGAGACCCCCTTTTTCTGATGACCACCACGGCAAACGTATAAA